GGGGGGGGGGGGGGGGGGGGGGGAGAGAACTTGGTTTTGGTTGTGATGGTGGGAGCAGGTGCGGGAAATGTTTTATCACGCATACAATGGGTACATGGACCATGCGTTTCCCCTGGACGAGCTCCGACCGCTCAGTTGCAAGGGAGAAGACACACTTGGTGGATACTCCCTTACTATTGTAAGTTTGTGGGATTTTTATCTTGTTTCTCGAGATTCTTTCCAGTGATATTCTCGTCGCCTGTGCCACATTTATGGATGAATGTTACGTATGCAGGCAGTCATGCAAACAAATGGGTAGGTTGATGGTTTAGAATACCTTAGATCGTCTGACTGTGGAAAGTATTGTTGCGAACTTGTCACCAAGGAATCATGAGAATATATTGAGGGAGCGTGTAGGGTAAAAGAAAGGGGGAAAACAACGGAGGAGCATAAGCGATGTTGCAGGAAACACAGAGGGCGCCAAAAATTTAGACGCACCGTTCAATGTGCTGATGGGTAGGTGAAAGTCCGAGTAAACAGTCTGGCACAGTCATGCCTTTTTTTGCGGAGTTGTGCATGGCGATCATGAAAACGCACACGCTTAGCCATATGTCGGCCCTTGGCCACACAGCTTGATGGTGCTTTGTGGGCTGTGTGGTGTTGTGTTGGCTGGGTGATACTATGCGGGTGGGGTGGTGCTGTGTGAACTGGGCGGTACCATGTCGGGTAGGTCATACTTTGTGGACTGGATGGTACTATCACATAGATGACGACAGGAAAAAGAAAAAGAAAAAAACACCACAGTGACGACCACCAAAAAAAGGAGAAACACAGCGACGACCACCAAAAAAAGGAGAAGCACACGGCCGACAATAGGTACTACTTGACCCTATGCACTGCTAGGTGGTACCCTGCTGGATGGGAGGGGTATTATGTGGCCTGGGTGATGCTATTTGGCTTGGGCGGGTGTGAGGTGGGTCATACTATGTGGAGTGGATGGTACTAACGGATGCATGCCCACAATGAAACACAAGATAGTCAAGAAAGGGATATAAAGGATCTATTGTGCTCCATGGTGCTTGCTATAGAGGTAAAACTGTTTCTTTGTTGGATTGGCTCATCTCAAGTGTTCTTCATTGTCTGCAATAGAGCTGAAGAAGTCCATTCATTTCCGATCTACTCATCTGGGTGGAACAGGGGCTGTTGTAGGGAAAATCTACAATGCACATCCCCCCCCCAAAAAGAAAGCACACACACATACAGACAGACGAAGAAAACACACACGCTTGCGCACTTGGCACTTAAAGGGCCAGTACATGCCAGGCATCGGCGGTGGGCCCCTTTCGGAGGCTGCCAGCCACGGATGTATTTTATCAACAGCGCACGAGCGTGGCCGCTGTGCAAAAAAAACGAAAAAGGAAACAGAAGGAATGACTTGAGTTGCTTTGAGGACCGATCATTTTTTCTGTGAATGATCAGGTCTGAGCAGGGGAGGTCCTGCTTAGCCCTGATGCTGACAACCATTGTCTGGTCTGGTCCCCCCCACTGAGATGGTAGGAAGGTGATAGTCCTGAGTGGTAAACACTGAGGAAGGATTGTGTGAGTAGGGGTGCGCCAGGGAGAAATAATCAGAGAGTAGAAGGGTTGGGAGGGAGGGTCATAAGGAGTAGGAACCCCCCTGCCCCCCCTTCCCTCCCCCCCCTCCCCTCCCCCCCCGAATTTGTTTTTTGTCCGATGAATGAGTTGAGTAACTTGAGTTGGTTTGGTGATTTCTGTACGAGGTTTGGAAGTTTGGGCAACGGTTCGTTGCTGAAATTTTGCTTTTGTGACGCTCTTGGTTTTGCAGATCGATGCGATGGACACCCTGGCCTTGTTGGGAAACAAATCCGAATTCGCGAAAGCTGTACGGTGGGCTTCTGCGAATTTGAATTTTGATAGGGTGAGATGATGAGATGATGAAAGCCAGTTGGAAGGAGAACTGTTTATTAGCTTTTGAATAATAAACCACACCATAACGAGGTCCCACTCGAACCACTGATGTATGACATCCTTCATAGGCGGATTCACATATACTGTACAAAGTACTACAAACCTTAACCTACCAGGTTTATTATCAGTGTACAAGGTGTAACCTTAAACCACCAGTATCTTTCCCATATGTTGGCCGCGGGCATTGTGCGCCAGCCTGAAAATCAAGACTGGTCGCCAATTCAATTTATCAGTGGCCGCCCTTCCGTTTCAGGCCTGTGCGTTACCTGGCACGCCTTGGAAAAATAGCTGGGAAAGGTACTGGTGGTTTAAGGCACAGGGTACCTCCTGTGTAAGAATGCATGTATGTTTGCCTAAGCTCTCAGTGAACCGAAGGTCAGGCTTGGAATGTGGTCTCCATTTTGGTCCAGGAACGGAACCAGGTCCACAAGCCTGGACTCTGCAATATTTAAGTGAGGGACGTGCTTTTCAATTTGGTCCGTGCGTGGGACCTGGTCAAAAATAGGTTGTGGAGGTCCGGAAGCTGGTCCTCAAATTGGTCGAGATTTGGAACATTGTCTCCGAGTTTTGTGCCATACTCGGAACCTGGTCTACTTTTTCCGTACTTGGGATCTGGTCCTTAGGTTGTCCAGGTCTGGAGCTTGGAACCTGGTCCATAGGTTGTCAAGGTCTGGAACCTGGTCTCTAAATTGGTCAAGATTTGGAACATTGTCTGCAAGTTGTGCCTTGCTTGGAACCTGCTCTAGTTTTTCCGTGCTTGGNAACCTGGTCTCTAAATTGGTCAAGATTTGGAACATTGTCTGCAAGTTGTGCCTTGCTCGGAACCTGCTCAAGTTTTTCCGTGCTTGGGATCTGGTGTTTAAGTTGTCCGGGTCTAGAGCCTGGTCTCTAAATAGTCCATCTCTTTGGAACACGGTCTCCAAATTTTGGTCAAGATTGGAAGTTTGTGCCATTCTCGAAACCTGATCTTGTTTTTCAATGCTGGGAATCTGGTCTCCAAGTTGATCCACCCCCAAACTGTGCTCTCCAAGTTGGTCGAGGTTGGGGGGCGTTTCCAAGTTGGTCTCGGTTTGCACGTGGTCGTCAAGTTGGTCCACATGGGGAATCTTGATTCGTAACATTTCCACATACAGAACCTGGTCTCCAAGTTTTCCAGGTTTGTGCGTGGTCTCCTGGTCGGCCTGCACCTGCGTACGGTCCTAGGATACATGACAAGCAACCCGAGCAGCGTCCTGCGTTCTTCACTGCCTACAGGCTATAACAGACGTATATGACGCATGGTCGCTGAGTCGGACTTGGAATCTGGTTGGTGAGTAGATCATCGGACTCGGAACCTGGCTGGTGAGTGGAATAAGAGACGAGCTTGTATTCGGCTTGCCCCGCTTGGTTTGTTTGGTAGGGGTTATCCCTTTATCCCTTCCCTCCTTCGCCGGGATCCTTTGCTGGGGGTTAGGACCAACCCAAAGTGGAGTAAAAAGAAAGAATTCTCGGATTACCCAGTGGTGCGTCGACACGGGTGGAGGCTGGGGTAAAAGGACGTATGCAAGGCCATATAGGTAGGTATTTAGTGGGGGGGTATAATTGAGCGAAGGGGAAAAAAAAAAAAAAAGAACTTGTGACCTCCTGTAATTCTGCCCCATTGACAAATGTTTTTTTTTTTTTTTTTCCCCCCCTCACCCTTTTCTAAGTTATCTTTCTTTTACGGTAAAGATTATAGCTCCCTCTATGGAGTCCATGTGGCCGAATGGTGCGCATGTGTGACTATTGATAAAGATAAAGCCTGATAAACATATCGTATAACTTCGAATCGCAATGAAATCCGATGGATAATGTTAGGGGTGGACCCGCCTAACCCTTTTGAGTTTTCTTGTTTAAGATTATTATATCATTGTAGTTCTCTTTTTTTTATTTTTTTGTGCTTTTGAACTTTTGAAGCTTATTTGCCTGAAATCAGATGGATAATGCTGTTTATTGAGTTTTCTGTTACCTTCTCTTATGCTGTGCCTACTCTACCATCTTAACCCAAGTAGAACGCCCGGTTATTATAGCTGTATTTGGGGGAACTTCCAGACCAGATGCAGCGATAGTGACCGGGCGTTTTAATTGGGTGAAGATGCTAGGGCATGCTAAGATGAGGGCGCTGTGTACTCGGACTGGGGCTTGACTTCCCAAGGGCGTACTCATTGGGACTTTCCTGGATGTATCTGAGCTTGATTACGTCCAGGGGTCAGTGGAAAGTCCTAGTGTGGGTATAACATAAATCTGGCTCTGATTATCATAACATGCATCCAGGAAGCTCCTGGTGCGATTATCCTCTTCTGGTACGTCAATACCAGATGCCTTAAATGTGGTGACCCCACCCTGTGTCCCTCTCCCCCCCAACCCCTCGTTGCATTGGGTGCCTACTTTATCGGAGCTGCTGCAGCTTTTCTGTGGTTTGTCTGGTCGGGGCCTCGGATGACGTATGTCTTCTCTGAGAGGTTATATCATGGGAAATCGTTTTTTTTAATGCCATGTTCAGCGTGTGGAGTTGGTTTAAAAACAAATTGACCCTTTTTTTTCCTGACGTGCCCGACGTGGCGAATTCAGTACACTAATCAATAGTTGCTAAATTTTCCCCTTTTTTATTTTGGGAAAATTCAAAATTGCATTCGTACCCCACTTAAAGATTGGAATACCCACTATACCCAATCCCAACTCCCATCTTGTATCTATATATTCTATACCCAGACCCTGCCCAACTTAAGGTAACCATAACAGCTCACTTTTCCTGTGCGCCATCTTATACGCGTACCCAGTCACACATGCCCTTGGTTGGGGAGCACAAAATTATGCTTTGTGCCCAGGAACCAGGCATTGGGTGCCTACTTTATTGGAGCTGCTGCGGCTTTTCTGCGGTTTGTCTGATCGGGGCCTCGGAGGACGTATGTCTTCTCTGGGAGGTTATATCATGGGAAATCGTTTTTTTTTATGCCATGTTCAAAGTGTGGAGTTGGTTTAAAAAAAAACTGACCCTTTTTTTTCCTGACGTGCCCGACGTGGCGAGGAACCGTTGCATTGGGTGCCTACTTTATCGGAGCTGCTGCGGCACAAAATTATGCTTGTGCCCAGGAACCAGGCAGGCAAAATTGGGGGTGCGCGTAATTTGCCCGGGTATGTGCATAAGTTTTTGAGCATTCCGGTAGTTGGGTATGACATACTATAACCGCCAATTTGGCGGTAACAACCTTGGCCCACCTGGGTCCCGGGCATGCAAATAATTTGCACAATGCACAGATCGTTTCCCGGGTGCAGACGGAAGTTGGGCATTGAGACTGGGTACAGCTGCAATTTGCCCTTCTATTTTTCGTAGCTGCATTGTACACCATTTGACCTGTGAGGCATTTTCGGATATTTTTCATAGCTGCATTGTATACCATTTCACTTGTGAGGCATCTTCGGAGTGACACTGTCCGTCGGAAACCGACTCTCTTCATCTCTCTTGTTATCGTTATCGGTGTTCTGTCCGTCCTTGGGGTAATTATGCGATACAGTCACGTTTTCCTTCACGAGGACAGTCTAGTAGAGTTTGTCATGGTCAATTTGTGTCATTCGGGCTCATTCCTTTTTTCTTCTGTTTTTTTCCCCTTTGCTTCTTCTCCCACCCCTTTCCCAGGGGAGGGGGTGGGCGGAGGGGTCCGTGCATTGTTTTTGTTTTGTGTCTGGGGGGTATTGTGCACTGGGTTTGGGGTTTGGGAAAATGGGCAGTTGGTACAGACTATTGGGGGAACAGGATGGGCCAAGTGTTCTTTTTTCGTCTTCCCTTTCTTTGTTGCTTTCCACATGTTTTCTCATTTGCACGCTTGTCACAATTTCCTTGTTTTCTGTACTATACCTTCTCCTTCTTCCCCAACTCTCTTCTCGACTGCTCTCTCCCCTTCCCCCCCCCCCCCCCCCCCCCCCCCC